GGGGGGGGGGGTTCATGTGAAAATGTGTATGCAGAAAAAAGTGTGTGTGTGTGTGTGTGTGTGTGTATGTAATCCCAGCCACGGTGGCTCCATCATGGGGAAATGCAGCCCATGTCTCTAGTCTACCATATGCCACCCAGTGACCCCAACACACACACACACACACACACACACGAATCAGTGTAAAGGGGGGTAAAGACAGAGATAGATAGAGATAATTCATGTGTATTTCATTGGTACGATGATAAGAAAGGTGAGTCCTTGTAAACCATGGTAGTGACTGAGTCCTCATAAACACTGTACACCAGAATTTGTGTGTGTTTGTAGAAATGCAGAGAGACAGAGAGCTATTTCATGTGTAGCCCATGAAATTGATAGAATGATAAGAAAAGTGAGTTCTCCTAAACTCGCTATACCTGATGCAGGTGTGTGTGTAAAGACAGAGAGAGATATATATTTCATTGGTAGGATGATAAGAAAGGTGAGTCTTCATAAAGCATGGTACAGACTGTGTCCCCATAAACACTATATACCTGGATTTGTGTGTGAAACAGCGAGAGAGAGAGAGAGAGAGAGAGAGAGAGAGAGCTATTTCATGTGAAGTGTATTGGTAGGATGATAAGCAAAGTGAGTTCTCATAAACTCTGCATACCTGAAAGTATGTGTGTGTGTGTGTGTGTGAAGTGTGTGAAGTGCGTGTAGGATAATAAGCCTCATAAACTATGGTAGTGACTGTGTCCTCAAACACTGTATAGACACACACACACACACACACACATTAATTTTGCTCAGTATTATAATCTAAAATGGCATATGTATAATAGAAACACTTTAATAATTTTAATAATAATTTTAACAGTTTTAGTAATTTTAATAAGTAATCTCAGAAAGTCGAGTTCGTGTTAAGCTCCTGCTGTAAATATGCAGAACTTTTCTCTCATAAATATTAACATCTACACTCTAATATAACACCATACACCCTATTACATACCACACAATAGTTACAGCCATACACACTTTACAAGTGGGATCCTCACACACACACACACACACACACACATAATTATATGCACTTACACACTTAAGAATACACTTAAACTCACAATTGCTCATACATGCACACAAACATGTACTCCACACATATATCTCTATCACACACACACACACACACACACACA